TTTAAGAGGACAGAGAATGCAAATTTCGTTTCTTATGTTCCATGTTCTGAAAATATTCATAAGACTCGTGCACACCACAATGCACAAAATAAGTGAAACTGAAACCTCTGACACGCAATTTGACTGAAACTGAACATCGACTATCACGACATGCAGATTATATCAAAGTTGTATTGGGGTCAAACCGCTAACTTCAGAATAGATAACGTTCTCTCCGAAGAGGACGGCATACGCATGGATGGCATACGGAAGGATGTCAGAAAGTGTTGTATCTTACTTCAATGCTATTCAATATATGCTAGGAAAACATTTTTGGAGAAGCATTGGAAGACGAATCCGCTGACGGCACTGTTTTGCGTGCGAGCTCTCTCGAGGATTTACAGAGACTATTAAACAAAGTAGTGAAAGATAGCAAAGATTACAGTCTCAACATGAAAATCAACAAGACTAAAATGATGATGATAACAAAAAGGAAGCAAAGAACAGGTCTGCTCATCGTAGACGGCAAAACAATTGAACAAGTAAGACACTACAAATACCTTGGCAGCCTAATTAATGAAGACGTGCAATATAAACAAGAAATCCTGGCACGCATTGAACAGGCATGAAAAGTGTTCATGAAAATGAAAAAACTATTGATAAAAATGATCCAATTCTATGTATTTCCCGTGTTGCTTTATAGCTTGGAAGGCTGGACGCTGAATAGAGAAACCACAAGGAGGTTGGAACCTTTGAAATGTGGACTTATAGACTCACGCTAAGAGTCTCGTGGATGAGTAGAACTACAAACGAGGAAGTGTTAGGAGATATGGGCAAAGAACTCGAAATACTCTTTACAAAATTGTAGATAGACGAAATGTTACGCAATTTTCGAGAATGGTTTGGTTTATCGTCAATTGAATTATTTAGATCAGCAGTATCACACGTGAAGATAGCCATGATGACTAGCCACCTCCAAAGGAGAAACTGATGTAAGAATAAGAATGATCGTTTCACAAAATTGAATTCGATTTTCATAATACTCTGGATTGATGCTGTGCTTACGAAGGATTCTTTGGGGTGCACTGAGGTCTAATTTTTTTGCTGCACTTCTGATGAAAGCTTGAGGATAAGCAAAATATTCAAAAGCAATTATTAACTTGTTTTCAACAGACGTTACAGGCTTGAGTTAATATCGTTCCGCTTTTAGTTTTGACACAAAAATAATAAAATTTGTTTGTAATAGTTCATTCCTCATAATCATGCCGCTCCCACCATAACTTGTATACATTGTCCATAAAAGATTCATTACAACATTTCCATCGATCGCATACTTCCACAATATAGATAACAACCACTATCAATCCATTAATTGTCATATTTTCTGAATATTCCATCGAATTAATTGATAATTTCATGACTGCCTAAGACAAATATGCAATTTTTTTCAGCAACATGTTGCTATTTCGGAATTTCTAATATTTAGGTATACTAAAATGAAACATCATTTGAAGAGGGGATTTAACTGTCTTCCAGAATAGTTAAATATAATTTTTCGTTATTTAATTTTTTTGCATTGTGTATACTAAACTGAGTAAACTGAACATAAAAATATAGCAAATCCTTCATAAAGTGTATCCGAAATTTTAGTTCTGTTTGAATCAAAAATAATTAAATTAAAACCGCTGAAACATGTTACATCGATAAATCATTCTTTATCTTGTTCACCATAAACATTTGACCTGCCATCCACTTTGAATCATCCGGTATAAAATAAACACTTCTCAAGTATTAGAGAAATGAAAATTAGTTTACGTTTTGACAAAATTAAAGTGATTAACACTAACTCCGACCTTACAATCCACAAATTTAAATTAAAAAAAAAACATTCATAAGTATAGCACTATTCCATAATCTGAAAAATATGAACTATGAAACAATTAATAATAATTTAAGAAATCGCATTTTGCATATCTGAACTGCTAACAATTTTACATAATTCCACGTAAATTTTTGTTTTGTTTCGACAATTTTGCATTCTATTCATTAAACGCTGCATTCGACGAAGTCATACTTTCGTTAATTTACCTGTTTTTCATCTTAAGTCATTATGGCATTCTAAGAAAGACAAAAATATGATGTCAAAAAAACTGTGGAAGAAATTAGAAATCCAATCCAATCAAAATCCAAAATACATGGACAAGTGCCAAACCCAAACCCAAGCTTTACAGTTCATAATATTTCAGCATACCACCTTTCCGATATAGAAGTCAGCGTATTGAATACAGGATTTAATTATGGAATAGCTCCAAAAACGTCGAATCAAGTCATGGTTTACTTAAAAAAAAAGCAACAGAGAAAATTTCAGAACTTGCCAAGATACGTTGATGACGTACTTGTCTTATGGTCTTTTGGCAGTTAGGAGCTTCTAGAATTCTACCTTTTCTAGATGTGAACTAGAACTACCCAATATACAAACGGTCGCCAGAGATCAAACGACATATTTTGAACGATTCAGTATACAAACCGGTCACCAGAGATCGCACGACATATTTCGCAAAAATAATCAAGTTAGCTGATTCTAGAAATTAAAGTTCTTGGAGTTGACCTTTTTATCGATGATGTCTGCACTGGTGCTCCCACTTTAGAAGGTGTTGCAATCGGAACTGACAGGTCCTCAAAAGAGGGATGTTCCTATTGCTAAAATTTGTCAGCAATAATAGAGGTTTGCTAGAATCCTGTTACATACAATGTCGAAATAGACAACAGGCCTTGCTCTGAAAAAGTAATTCTATAGGAAGTAGCAAGGATTTTAGATCCAAATTGAATTGGTATGAAGGACCACTACAAGATGTTTTACTTTTTTGGTCGAACTTACAACTTACTGCTTTATTACTATTAGACATTCGTAAATTTGGCAATTTTGCATCCAGTTCGAGGTATGATTTGTTAGAATTTTAGTTTATAAAAGGACTAGGCAGCTGTTATTTATCTGTGATATCTAACTTCAGATAGGATATACAAGTCAAAATTGGATTGCCTCCTCTTGGCTAGCTTGCTCAATTTCTCTCGCCAAAGCTTGAATGTCAAAATATTTATGCCTGGATTGACACTGTTACACTTCAATGGATAAATTCCTTTAGATCTTATTAACCACCATCACCAACCACCAACAGTGGCCTGTTTCTATTATCTGTAAGTCTCTACCTGAGTAATTTGTGGACAAGGAAAAGGTGGTTTCTTTGTTTGTTGATACAACTTCGAACCAAAATGTCTTTGCAGCTATAAAAACATTCACCGCTTAAGAAAATCGGAATCAATGACGGTTTTAATTAAGAACTACCAGCATTATCACTTTAGTAATGAAATTGAATGTCTTGACTTCGGAAACTTTCTCTCTAAATCCTTGAGAAAGTTAACACCGTTTCTGTCTTATTCGACACTTTGCTTTAGCGAGAAGCACCCTATACTTCTTCTTAGAAATAGCCACCTCACTTCACTAAAAATAGAACCAACTCATCGTCAATATGGCCACCTAGGTTTGCAGACATTACATATTTGATTCGCAGATACTTAATTCCAACAGATTTTGGTCTGTAATCTATAGATATTTTATTTGTTTTCTTTGTTTATGTTTTGTGTTCTCCGTATCTCCGATAATTCATTTTGATGGTCAATTTTACATAACTTCAGGTAAAAATCGTGGAGCTAATTCTTCAAAGGCTTATCTGTGCATTGTGTTTGTTTTGATACCAAGACAGTTCATCTGGGGAATGTCTCTGATTTAGCCATTGAGGCATTCCTAGCTAATTTGAGAAGATTTCTCGAAATGCGATTTCGAGGTTTTAAAATCATCAGTGACTGTGGCACTAATTTCGTTGGTGCCAAACAAATATCGGTTCGATATCATGATTAAAACGTCCAAGTGCTTCAAATTTTGGAGGTTTTTGGGAGGCGGGAAGGTCACTATTATGGAAGGTCACTATGGCACTTCTTAATGCTAGACCCCTCTGACCACTTAGCTCCAAATAATCTATCGGTTTTGTCCCAGGCCATTTTTTAAATTTGGAACCACTCACCATATTGCTTGATTTCGAACTGAATATCTTGATAAGCAAGGTTTATCCAGATACCTTTTGATTCGTCTTCACCAAGACTTCTGGAACAGATGGCATTGGAAATATTGGCATACGTTGTTACAAAGAAATAAGCGATCAGAAAATGAAGGCAGTTTCTGGGCAGACTGGAATCCTGCAGACATTGTTCGAAGTGTTTTCGGAGCGCGAGCATTGAAGATGCCAAGTGAGATTTTGGCGAAACGTCTGCAGGATTCCAGTCGGATGCAGGATTTGCAGGATTCCAGTCGGATGCAGGATTCCAGTCGGAGTTCAACGAGCGAACGGATGATATCCCGGAATATAGTGTCATCACATTTTTCCATCCGTGAATCAATACGTGAGAATATATATATATATATATATATATATATATATATATATATATATATATATATATATATATATATATATATATATATATATATATATATATATATATATATATATATATATATACATATATACATACTTGTTTTATTATTGACATTGAGTGATTTTCATCTTCACATGGCGATATTTCGATGAGTTTGGCAGTTTGGCACCACTACACATCAGGAGTGAGACACGAAAGGAAGAAAACCCTGGCTAAGTCGATTGCAGTCACCCCATTATTATGTAATTTGATTGACAAGCGTTTATTACAATTTTATCATAATCGTTCTGAGGCTGTCCAGTCAAAAATACAGTTCACTTCGTAACACCAATGAACTAATAATAATCGCCTCACGTGCCAACCTAATCGCAGGAGTGAATGACACACAATTACGGCGTAATTAAAAATAAAACTCGCAAGTATAATCGAAAAATCAAGGCAGTGAAGCATTTGATAATCTCAGTGATAATTTACTCTGAATACCCTTTATAAGCCGATTTTTTTTAATTTTCTCATCATATCAAAAGAAAACATGAACCAAAAAGCAATACTGTGCTTTTTGGCCGCCCTTTTGGGCTCCATCTCGAAATCGGAAGGTAAGAAAAACATTGCCTAAGTTGATAAAACGATTTTTGTTATTAATCTCAACATTATTATTGAACACTCTTTATTAATATTATTATAAAATATATTTACAAACTAGCGAATTTGGATATTTGGTATTTTATATGAATTTAGCATACAGCTATTAGATAATTTAGTGGCGGCATATAAATTCCAACTACTAATCTGCACTTTGCGCCATTTTCTTTCTAAACACATTCAATTGTTTTTTTTTATAGAAAATTTAAAGGGACCTGAAGCCTTCGGAATGAACTTTTAGGGGCCATGTTTTTTATGTCTAAAACGAGATTTCAAATGACCACGCAAGCGCATGTTAAATAGTGCATCTCATTATTTTAGCTACATAATTGACATAATTCTTAATATTGTCGAACTATTTATGACCAGAGCGTATTCGAAATTATTTTTTAACATCATAATTTCCAGGGCTTCAAGGTAAATTGACACTGTTGTTTTAAAAATACTGATATTTTGGGCCATGTTATTCCAGCTTTCGATATATAGTTTTTATTGCTTGGATTCAAGTGTTAACTAGCTCAGACAAAATATTTTTTTTAACACGCGATCTCGTACTTTCAGTCATTCATCATTGCCGTTAAAGGCGGGTTGAAATCTCCATCCACCCACAAAAAGGGCTTTTAAAATATCCTAGCAATATTATCAAAAAGTTTTCTCTCTATCTCTATCGAATATATACTACTATACTTCTATAAAGGCTGTAAATACGGTAAAATCTACACCAAGTTAATAAAATTGTCCCTTGTCATATTATTTTATTTATTTATTATTTATTTATTTATATAATCTTTATTTTTATTGTAGTATTAATTAATTCCATTATTATAAATATATAATCAGAAAAATTATTAAACTGTTTTTTTTTTTGGAAAAATTGAAGGACAATCGGAAAGTACTTCTTTACGAAAATAGTTCCTTTATTTTTATTGAAATCTACGTACACTGTTACTTACATTCGTTATAGACACTGACGAGTCTCTTACCAAAAATATTCAAATCCATCTTTATTGTAGATAATCGGAGGCGTTCATAAGATTTCTTGCATTTTGCTATACCAAACACTTTTTTTCCCTTATTTTGAGGTTACCATAAAATAATAATTAATAATAAAATAAAAAAATTTCTTTAGGTCGAATATTTTGTTACTTTGCATCCTGGACAGTATACAGACCCGGAGACGGGAAATTCGACGTGGACAATATCGATCCATTTCTATGTACCCAAGTATCATTCGCCTACGTCGGAGTAAATAGTAATGGAAGTCTTGAAGTAATAGATCCGCACCAAGCAAATAGCAATGGTCTCGGTAAGAAAATAAATTTATCATATTTTCGAACGGCGACAATTTTTATTTTTATTTTGTTCGAATTAAGCAGTGATTGTGATATTTCTCTTGTTCATTTGAATGTATATAAAATTTAACATTTATGACGATAATTTTATACTTTGTAGATGGGTTGAACAGATTTGCTGCATTAAAGAAAGTAAATCCGGACCTGCAACTCTTTATCAGTATTGGCGGATGGAATGAAAGCCCAGATAAATATTCGAATATTTTAGCTGATCCTTCACTGCGACAATCATTTATCGATTCAGCCGTAGCCTTTCTCGATCAATATCAATTCGATGGAATTGATTTGGATTGGGATTATCCTTCGCGAAACGACGCTAGCAACGACCAAGATAAGGTATAGATTATTTAATAAGAGATTTAAGGCAATGAGAGAGCAAAAATATATATTTTTAAGATGGTGGAACTTCCCGATATACCGGAAGTGGGTGCTTGGTTTCTTATTGTAAATAGAAGACCCTATATATCATTGCATTTTCGGATTCCCAGGAAAATTCTCTAAATTTGTTCCAAACGGAAATCTTTAAAATTTTACGCAATCAATTTATTGTGTAATAATAATAATAATATTGGATACATAAAAAATTGGAACAATTGGTGTTTCCATCACCTATTTTTAGAATCCTAATTTGTTATTAAAAATTAACAGTACTTTGTTTTAGGATGTATAATACGAATATATATCGTTTTATTAATTAATAATAATAATTAAAATACTGATATCAGTTGCCATATAAAAAATATTATCAATAATCATAATTATAAGCACGAAGATTATTTGAATTTGATCATGTTTTAAGTAGAATATCCGATTCGTTATCCCCAAAAATAGAAACCATCACCATAACCAATTAGAACTAGTATAGAATTTCTCAACAACAAAAAGGTGCAGCGAATGAAATTTGATATAAATAAGCAAAGTAATCAAATAGATATACATAACATTTTTTAGTTGAATCAAATGATGATGAAAATGATTTTCACAAATTTTTCCAATTTCATTTTAATTCTTATTTTTTCCACATCCTGTACAATCAAAATTACTAACTAAAGTAAAATTTTAGAAGATTCAGTATGGGAAAAATTTACAGATATTTATAAAAAATATGAAATATTAATTATCTCAGAAACAGGGAAATTTAGGTACGGGATATTATACACGAAATTTTCAGGGAAATCCAAGAAAGTAATAATATACCGGGTTTAAAATAAGAAAATTGACACTCATCTCCTGGCAATTCGAAATACTATTAATTATATATAAATATACATTATAAAAATATTTTAGTTGCATTACCCCCACCAATTTCAGTATGATATCATTTCGCGGTAGGACACTCTATTTATACATACATGTGCATTTTGAGACACCTGTGCTTATTATCCATATGGAAATCTAAGTTTTAGTTACAAAACCAACAAATTAAATTATTGGGTGATTTCTTTTTTTTACAGTGAATATACAAAAATGTAAAGTTTTTCTATAAAATTATGAGAACTAACATTTATGCAATAAGGTTTTATGTATATTGTTAAATAACTACACAAAATGCATATACGTAAAATATTTTTTTCATAATTTCAAATTTCATTAGTGTTAATTTTCGCTTTTAGGCCAACGCAATTTTGCTGCTCGAAGATCTCCAGAATACTTTCAAACCTAAAGGATATTTAATCTCCGCTGCTATTAATGGATGTCCCAGATTTCTTAGCGAGTCCTACGATATTGTGCAACTTAACAAGTATGTACTAGTTATGTAGTTAATATTACATAAAGAATTTTAAAAGTAATAATACAAATTTAAAAATAGATAATATAAATAATAATTTAACGAAGCATTTGGAAGAATAAATTTAAAATGCAGCCGAAAATATCGTGATGTGCAGCAGAGTAAGTTTTTCGTTTATTCATGTTTTTCTCTATTTATCGACGATTATTCGTATAATTTGATAATTGGCTGCGTAGGACAATGTCTTCAGCTTTTAATGAAATATTGATGAACTCTGTAAATACAGTGCCAATTACAGCCAGACACCTCATACTGTTCCAAAAAGTCATTGCAAAATTCAATTCACCCGACAAATCTGCAGCAACGTTGAATGCTGTGTCAAAATAAAAATAAGTAGAAAAAAAATGTTTTTGCTACTTTGGAAAAACAGCAATCTAAACTGCCCAAAAATTATTCGGGTGGTTGAAATACTGTAAATTTTTATCATATCATTACGTTAATAATTGGAAATACCGAAGATTACTGAGTTAAAAATATTAATCCAAATCCGAATGGTCATTTACGTACAACTTTTGATTGTCCAGTAACTTATATAAGAAGAGCATACGCATTCTTTTTTTTTTGAAATATTTAAAGCTAACTGTTGTCAATGTTGAGTGGGTGCTTATTAATTATGTGCTAGGTTTTGTGACATTGAATTATATTAATTAGGCAAAAAAATTAAAGGTGAAATTGCGTTGCTCAAAAAAACTATTTTGTTATAATCTAGATCAACGAACAATTTTAATAACCCGAACATTTAATGATTTGGGTTAAATCTTAATATTTCGAGCCCAGTAGTCTACAGCATAAATATTTACAATTAATAATTAATCAGCCTATACTAAATTACGCTCGAAAATCTTGGTTTCATCACCTCGAAACTGAAAAGTTTTGCCTCGGTTCTAAAAGTCGCTTAATATGATTTTTTTGATTTTTTGATTTTTCCGACGCAGCAGTAGTCTGCAGAAGTTTCTGTAAAATACTTGCAAAAAACTTACAAACTTATAAAACTTGTAAAAAGTTTGAGGGAACTTTAGAAACTTTTAATTTTTCGCAGGTTTCTAGATTTCATAAACGTCATCATGTTCGATTATCACGGCAATTTCAACAACTATGTAGGTCATTCTAGTCCTTTGTTCAACAGTTCGTTGGATGCAGATTCCGGAAGTACAGATTTCAACGTAGTAAGTTCACAATGCAATTTTCTTGTATCCAGCTAAATAACATTTTTTTAAGGCTGCCGGTCTCGAAGCTTGGATCCAAAAAGGAATTGATCTCTCGAAAGTCAATATGGGGCTTGCAACTTTCGGAAGAACATTTACTTTGGAGGATCCATTTAAAGCCGATTTGTATGACCCGATTTTAGATGGCGGTTTACCGGGTCCGTTTACTCGTGAAGTCGGAGTTTTAGGATACAACGAAGTAAGTCTTGGACTAACTTTATAGTAGTTTATTACAATAGTTATTGTCATTCGCGGTGGTTGTCCTATTAAAAGTGAAAATATCAGAAGTCAAAGTCTGACTATCAAAATTTTCGATGTTTCTGTAGAGGTGAAATAAAATAGAGAAACTATCCAAATTCACAGTATGTTACAAAAATTACCCTCTACAATCGTACCGAGTTTAATCCGAAATATCGACATTTAGGAAAAACTTCCGCATAAGCAAATAGTCGCGATTCTTCATGAAAATTTATCTATTTCATTAAGGGAGAAATTGAAGGAAGGAACCTAGATTGGAAGTGTTTGTGAGTTTTTGGAACTAGGTGTATCTTATAAAATTGTTCTGAAATCAGTAACATAACAAGTTTAATGGAAAAGTTGGAGTGGAACTGGCAAAACAACAAATTTCTTTGATTTTTGCTTGATGTCGTACACGGTGTTTTAGTAACGTATGAAAATGAAAAAAGAGTCATTTTGCACATTGTCATCACAGTTTAAGTGAATAAATGAAAAATAATGAACATGTGTGTAGTTTAAGAGAAACAAGGAAAACGTGGAAATGATGTTTGCACCCGTGAGTTTTGCTTTGTATTCACGTGTTCCCCTTATGTCTGGGGTGTGTATATGTTAAGGAAAAATAGCTGCAGTAATTTTGGACAGGCGTAGCTTTAGGAATAATCTAATGGGTGCTTTATACTGGCGAAATACCAACCTGATGTTTCAATGGCAAAATATTTGCCTAACAATTTTTTTGTCTCCTAGGATATTTTATTATATTTACAGTGTAATCAATAAAAAACATATCATTCCGTCAATTTCGGTCAGTTCTGTATATCTTTCTGTTTTATTTTTGCTTCAACCTTATAAAAATTTTCGTTACAGATCTGCAGCTACATCAACTTCTATACGAGGTATTGGGACAACGAGCAGCAAGTACCACATTTAATTGTTGGAGACCAATGGATAGGCTATGATGATATATATTCAATTGTTATAAAGACGCAATACGGTTTGCAAAACAACGTGGGTGGATTTATGGTTTGGTCATTAGATACGGACGATTTTCGCGGGTCTTGCGGTACAGGCCAATATCCTCTGATTAACGCAGCGAAATATATTATTGAAAATGGTTCAACATAAGTAATGAATACGAATTTTTTATATTTTTTTATATAAAATTAGTATGGTATTTTGTGTTTTGCAATTGTAATAAACATACATCATAAACATACAGCAGTTTGCAGAATATCAGGATGACCGTTCATCACTTGAATCAGTAGTAAGCGGGGTGGCCCAGGGTTCTGTCCTGGGCCCGCCACTATTTACAATCTACATAAATAACCTTTATCATTTCTTGGCCCCCAATCACTGCATGATGTTTGCCGACGATACATCCTTCACTACATCTGCTAAGAGTATCGAGGAGTTGTCCGTTAGGGTTGGCATGTTGGAGGACAGGGCTAATGTCTGGTCGAAAATAATTATCTTAAATTAAATTTAGACAAGACGCAGAGTATTGTGTTTTCCTCCAATTGCTTGGTAAGTAGTGGACAGTCCGTCAAGTTGCTTGGCATTAGGATCGATGATAGTCTAAATTGGAAACAACATATCTCAGACATGAAAAATAGATTGTCCAGCAACATATTCGTTCTTCGACGACTGAGAGGCCTGATAGGAACAAGGACTCTGCTTATGGTCTATTTTTCTTTGTTGAATTCACACTTATGCTATGGCACAGTGCTGTGGGGTGATTCCTCAGCTGCTGTGGAGATTTTTAGAATGCAGAAAAGGGCCATTCGAGTGGTTACTAATATAGGATATAGGGACCATTGTCAACCTTATTTTAAAAAATTTAAAGCGATGCCCCTTTCTTGCATCTATATCTACTAACAGTTATTAGAGATACAAAGAACGAAAGGAAACTTTAGCGCTAATTCTGATTGCCATGCCTATCCAACTCGTTCGGGGAATCTCCTTAGACGGCCTAGGTTTAGACTGAGGAAATCTGAGAACAACTCATTGAACCTGAAATTGTATAATGTTTTGCCAGATACCGTGAAAAAGATGAGCAATAGAAAATTTAAACATAATATTAAAGAATTCCTACAACGTCATTGTTTTTACTCCCTACGAGCATAAATTGACACTGTCACTGGTATCGATGCGCTATAAAACTGTATAGTACTGTCTAATTTTGTTTGTATTAGATGTGTGTTTTTATATTATTTTTTAATGTGATTTTATTGCACTTGAATATAACTACTGACTTGCTACAATTGTACGTCCCTTTTGTACGAAACGTAGTCAATAAATGAATCTATCTATCTATCTACCTACATATAAATATCAACCTGCTTCTACTTATTCAACAAATTTACATCTTGTCACCAACTCTTCTCCAGAATTCCCTATAATTCTCGCTAAATTCGGACTTTTTCTTGAACTTATATATATATATATATATATATATATATATATATATATATATATATATATATATATATATATATATATATATATATATATATATATATATATATAAACTTTTTGAGATTTGGCCTTTGATCGGAAAGTTTGTCAACATCACCGTGACCCTGTTTATTAATTTCGAATTCGAGAGGAAACTAGTATTTTTTAAATAAAGGATTAAGTTGGTAGCAAAAGTCTTATCCGGCAAGCCTTGCAGTTAGGCGGAGCACCTGACACATTACTGGATATTTGTATGGCTTCCATTACCAGTGGTATAATCCCTATTTAAAACTTTGGTGAAAGTTTTGCAAGCAAGAAAATCTAAATGTATTTTCAGTATCTGTACCAGATGCATTAATATTTGTAATATTGTTTTTCAATAAAGGCGCTTCTTATGGGACCTTGAACTCATACAGATGTGGAATAGCTCAAATAGCAGGATTATATTTTGCTAAAGATTTTAGGCTAATAAACCCAAATACAGCTTTACTTGGGACCCGCCTAATGTCCTTTACTACATAAAAACATTCCACGGAGGCTCAAAATATCTTATTTTGTTCATCTGGGCCTTGTCCTTTTCATTGTATATTAATACGTGAATAAATTAAATTATTATTATTAATAACATTCCCTTATAAAAATTAACTTATTAGTTAGCAGCACTATTAGCGTTTAGTACTGGACAAAGGGTTCCGACGTTGGCTAGTATTGAAATCTCTAACATAGAGATAGCTGACGATGGCGTCACCATTTAAATCCCTAAGCGAATGAAAAGGTCTGGTTTAAATAGATTACAGCCAACTCTAGTTGTGCCATTTTATAAGGCAGATTCTTCATTATCTGTGGCTAGGTGTTAAATGCAATATTTAAAGAAAACACAAAAATTAAGAAACTCCCAGAGCAATTGACTATTTACTACTTTTAAAAAGCGTTTTAAAAATACAAAACCTAACTCCATTAGTAGATGGAGTAGACAGTTCTCAAATGTAGTGGTGTTGATAAATTCATATTTACTGCCTATAATACACGGCATGCAGCCATATCCACCGCGGCTCGTAAGGGATCAAGTATGGATATAATTAGGCTGGCAGCAGGATGGACTGAAAAGTCAAAAACATTCAAAAACTCAAATTTTACCGAGGTTGTTCTGGGCTCTTAATCTCTAATTACTCTTTAGATGTATTTCGGTTTAAACTACAAAGGTAGTCTTTTGTTTAGTGTTGAACAATCGTTAATTACCATGGTTTTGTGGTAATTTCGTTTCTTCCAGGAATAGACTACATATTTATAATTGTTGCAAATTTCTTTAAACATCTACGTTTTACTTAATTATGAAGACGAGGCGTTGTATGATTAACAGATCAAACGAACTTACCTGTAGTGAAGTTCGATCTGTATTATATGAAGCCTCGTCGAAATAATTAAGTCCCTCCCAACCCATAACCCTAGGCATACAATTATAAATATTTGGTTTACTTTAAAAGAATGAGGTAAGACGCCGGGATGACTGACCGATGGCAGCGGAGTGCAGGGAACAAAAAAAATCGATATCTTTAAAATGCGGAAGGTACTACGTTTTACTGAATTATTTCGACGAGGTTTCATATAATTCAGATCGAACTTCACTACAGGTAAGTTCGTTTGATCTGTTAATTTTACACTACATTGGGTTTAGTGAAGGTGCAAGCGTGTTTTTAAATTCATTTTTATCCGATAGAGTTCAACAGGTCTTCTGCGACAATGTGTATTCCGAACCACTCTCCGTTGAGTTAGGTGTACTAAAAGGTACCATATTGGGTCCCTTGTCGTATACAATCTATACGTTTAACTTTGTAAAGGCTTTAAAATATTGTAATTATCACCTATATGCTGATGACACTCAAATTAACTTTTATTTTCAAGATCACGAAATAACGCAGACTGAGACTAAAATTAACACTGATTTAAAGCACTTTTATAAAATTGCATCCGATCATCTAATGCGATTAAATCCAACTAAATCATCGCTGTTGGTTTTTGGAAAACAAAATGACCATAAAAATTAATGACACTCCTATACCATACTCGGATACATCGAAAAGTTTAGGATTGACCTGGAGCTGCGGTTCAACAATTTAACATTAATATACAGTCATAGATACCTTCTTCCAATTGTTGCAAAGAAACTACTTTGTGAATCCATCGTTCTGTCATACTTCAATCATTGCGGTGGTGTGTACGCAACCTGCCTGGACGCTGCAATATCGTATCCAGAAAATACAAAATTCATGTTTGCGGCTAGTTTATGGAGTTCGCCAACAGGATGATATTTCTCCATACTTGGCTGTTACGGGTTGGCTTAGCACCCGTGCTACATTCTATTTTAAATTAATTAAGTATAAATCTCCTGAAGTCACTTTTCGTACAGATGTTCATGACTTCAATCTAAGAAAAATTTTATATTGAGAATATCACAACATAGAAAAGCAATGTTTAAAATGTCATTTTCTTATAGCATTGGACATACAATAAATAATTTAAGTCTTTTAGACATAACAATATCAACCAAAACTTTGAAAAACCGGTATAAAAAACATCTTCTTGAAACTCAATAATTTCTGTATCGGAAAACCACTCTGCTGTTTACCCCTACCCCCTCCTTCCACCTTTGTCCTGTAACTTCACATTCTAAATTATTCTAAACTCTGCGTAACATATTTAATTTTGTTTATTTGATTCTTTTTTTTTCTTGTTCTTGGTTTACATTAAATTGAGGCTTGAACAGTGTCTGGCTTTGCTGGACGTCTGCGTTTTATGAGGCCTTTTGGAGTGTAATCATATGTATATTTGGCAAAGCAATAAATGTATTCATTATTATTATTATTATTATTAATTTAAAAACCTCCTCGGGCCTGATATTTCTGTCAAGAGTATTATAAGGAACCAAAATTTTAGGAACAAATAGTGGCATTTTGACCTTTGTACAATGGTAACTGAACTACAACTTTGCAATTTACTCGTTTCTTATTTTATGCGCAAGCTATTTGGAAATGTTCATCTCAGAAGCAAAAGGCACTCGCCACCGAACGCGTACAAAAAAGAATTTCATTTACATATTGTCGAAAATCCGTCACAGTCTCGATTATATAAGCCACTGCTGAGTAGATTTCAAGCTACCAGAAGAGTCTCTTTTGATGCCATTTGTTGGAGGAGATACGCTTTCAGATATCCTAACTAGTCGGTGTTGATTTGAGCCGACAGCAGTAAAAATGGATTAAATAATAGAAATAAATTATTACTAAACATTGTCGTTTATAGCAGCAATAAAGTAATTTAAGACCATCGATTTTCTGTTTAATCTTAAATACGTCGGATTTATAAGGCAGCTTAATTAGGGCGCCGTACTTGCAGAATTGAAATAGTTAAAAAACATCTTTAAGTAGGTGTCGGGTCTGCAAAATTTACACGTTATAAAAGTGAGACAACTCTGGGTGTTTCTCTTGCTCATTTGTATAAGGCAATGAGATTGTTTTCTTTGTTTAACTAATTTTTTGAACCTTATAATTGATGACAAAAACAATATTTTTATCAATTTTTTAAAAAGTTATTTAACACAAAATAATAGGATGTATTTTTTCAGGAGCATTATTTCAAAAAGAATTTTCTATTTCTTGAAAAATGGATACGTTTTGATTAGATCAATAGGTAAAGAAAACCAAAATCAATTTATTTTTAAATAATAAAAATATTAATTAACAATT